TGAGTGAGACAGATATGATGATCGATCGTTCAATCAATCGCTCGAACGATCGATGGATGGATGGTCGAATGGATGGATGGATAGATCGATAGATATAGATAGATAGATAGATAGATAGATAGATAGATAGATAGATAGATAGATAGATAGATAGATAGATAGATAGATAGATAGATAGATAAATAGAAAAGGAGCGGTGGAGGAGGGGGCGCTGTGGGAGGGGAAAGGGTGCACTGCTCCTGGGTCTTTCAAAGGATCAGGACGAAATTTAAAGGGAATTACGTGTATAAATACCATTGCACACAAGCACGCGCATATTGCAACATTCCAGCACGCACGCGCGCACAGCATACTGCAACATTCCAGCATGCACGTGCAAAGCATACTCCATCGTTCCAGCACGCACGCGAGCACAGCATACTGAAACGTCCCAGCACGCACGCATGTGCATACTGCGACGAACCAGCCAGCAGAAGGGCAGTAACCGGCACCTCGTCCCTACCGGCGCGGTGTCCAGGCGAACAAATTCATGAATCTTGCATGAGGATCAGGATCGAATGAAGACATTACCCGGACGGACAGGACAGAGTTAGAGCCAAAACCGGACACTATCGGAGCAAATACCGTCCCCGATGTCGCCCTGTGTGATAGGACATTCTTGTCATAACCGGACTCAGGAAGGAGCGTGAGTCCGGAAATCTCCGGTGGCCGCTACCTAGGAAATGTATCGTTAACTCACTTCACTTACTGGCTCGCTTTATCAAACTACTTTTGGCGTCTTGGGTGTCGTGAGGCGTATGTGTGTGTTTGAGGGAGGGGGGGGAGGAGAGAGAGAGAGAGAGAGAGAGAGAGAGAGAGAGAAAGAGAGGGGGAGGGGGGGCGGATGGGAGTATGGAGTAGCTTACAAATACAGAGAGAGGGAGAGGTAAAGACATTATTAGATGACGAGAGCTGACAAGGAGAGAGAATCAGAGTGAGTTCGAGAGTCAGAGTGAGAGAGACAGGGAGGGAGAGAGAGGGAGAGGGAGAGAAAGAGAGAGAGAGAGAGAGAGAGAGAGAGAAAGAGAGAGAAAGTGTGCGTGTGACAGTGTGTAATTGTCTGTGGCTAAGTGGAGTCTTTTCT